AGAAAATAAAATGTAACCGTACAGAAACAGCTTGTAACCAGCTCCATAAAAGTTTTACTAAAAGAACAGCACCATAAAAGTTTAGCTATAACTGTAGACACTCCTGCACACATATATGACTCAGGTGCATATTAACTATCTCAGCACGTTTCAGAAATCCAGCCTTGGATCCACTGGAAAACTTACCTGGACCAGATCACTCACTCTAAAGACAGGATGCACTCAAAGCCCTGCTCTGGTCACTCTGGATGCTGACCAGTCCATGCATGACTGAAGTCTGAGGACACCATTCAAAAGATTGCTCCATACATATTTTCTTTGATTTTTGTGACTTTTTAGCTCCTTACCTCAGTCATTGCTTTATGTATGATTGCCCCAAGAGAATAGAAAATAAACTGTAAGACCTTTACAAATGATAAGGATTTGACCAGTGCTCAAGGCACATTGGACATTATCCTAAATCAGATTAGCTCATTCAATTACTTGACAGAGTAGTATTAAAAAAACTTCTTGTAGTTGGGCCTTGTCTCAAAAGATCACATGTAATATGCCTTGAAAAATTTGCTGGGGAAACTAAAATAGAGAAATGTAACAGAATATGCCCCCTGACCCTACCAGTGCACTCAGTTTCTTAGTTGCCCAGGTAATAGTGCTTGTAGCAGTTCTGGTTGTTTCTGTCTCCTAAAAACAGCTGGTCACTGTAATATATATGTAAAAACCAATCCCCAATTAACAAGCCACTTGGCCTCTGTACTTCTTGCCTGCTTATCTTATAGAAGACTTAGACCACCAGAGACCACCAGTCTGACATTTTGGGAATGATCTCAATCAGTTCCCATTGACATTAATAAATCTGCTTCAAAATCCTGGGAGTTATTTTGATGTTTCTGATTACCATAGCAGAATAGCAGTTGTGAGGCTCAAATGATGATATTGATCAGAAACTAAGCAAAGCAAAGATAAGTAGTATATTATTAAAACAAGACCCCTCAATAAAGAATCATCTAGATTCTTGCAAAGAAGCAGGGCGAGAGCACACTTTACATGTGTTGCAGAGCAGGACCTTTTGGGACTGGACAGAAAGCTTCCTGAGTGCTGGGAACATTTCCTTACTCACTGTTACATCTCACAGGCAGGATTATGTGGCCATAATACCACAGGAGGAAGGCAGCAAGCCAGGTCTGGCCCTCAGAAGCAGTGGGCTTTTAAGCTTTTAGGTTTTTTATTCAGCAAAACATCAATTAAGTGAAAATTCATTTTGAGCTGTGCTGGAGTAAGTGGGACTGAGATGGTTTTGTATGAAACTCTGTTCTGGGACTTGCTCAGATTTTTCAAGAATTTTTATTCCTCAAAGGCTCTTTTTCTGATCTCAAAGCAAATTCTTAGGCTTCAAAACTTTTCCGTTGTTTAATGAGTTCTCAGATCCCAATGGAACAAGGAATTATTTCGCAGATTCTGATTGTGGGCCGGACAGAAAGCTTTTCTTCACTGTTTTGCTCTGTCACGCCTCTCAGTGGACAGAGATTTCAGGAACAGTACTGTGCCCCTGACTCTTTAGAACCTGGGTTTAAACTCTTGTTTTTTCATCATGGAGTTCTGAGATGATAATCACTGAAATTGAGAGTTTTACTAGATCTTGCTATGCAAGTAGGGTGGCCTGAAGTAACTGGATGCCTTATTCCTGGATTCCAGAAGTTTCTAGCTCAAGCATGGGGAGAGGAGCCTGGGTCTTGGGAAGCTCTAGAAAATCCCTCTTTTCTTTTCTTGGTCTGGGTTCTCAGGCCCAAACAGAAGAAGCCTTTGAACACTTTTGAAGAACATTGTAATTCTTTTTTGTGGGGTAAGGTGCAGAAGGGGGCAGATAAAAGAAGGTAAATACTGCCTATGCACGCCCTGATTAAATATGTGATGCTCTCAAAGATTACTTCATGTGTGAGTTTAACTAAATTGGAGCAGGCCAAAAATTTTATGATATTAGTATTTTTCTTATTGGATGTAAGAAACTAATACTCTTTGCTATAGTACACTTAGAGTTACTGAAATAATTTGATGAAGGTTAACTTTATAGGCTGAGACAGAAAGATCACAAGTTCAAATCCTATTTGGGCAACACAGTGAGACCCTGTCTCAAGATATACAAAGAAGGTGCTGAGGATGTAGCTCAATGGTAGAGCACTCCAGACTTCAACCCCAGGAAGAGCTCCACCCAATCATCCTACGAAGATGTCTATAATTGAAAAGGCTTCTGATCCACGGATGCTACATTTCCAGGTAGCTTTGGAAATTAAGCCAGTTTTCAGAAACTTCAGCTTTCGTTTCACACCCTGTAGGTGGCATCTGCCACAATCCATCAGCAGGTGCCCCGTAATCTGCTTCCTTTAACTGTTTTCCTTATCAAAGCATATCTTGAAGAACAGGCTCTCTAATCTGTAAGAAGTGACCGAGGTTGAAAACAACTCTGAATGGAAAGAATCAGCCATATGTGTAGTTCACCGGGATAATGAGCTGTGCAGAGGGGAAGCTTCACACAAAGCTCTGAGGCAGGAGCTGGCCTAGTGGCACAGGCTTCTGTAATCCTGAAAAGTGGATCACTGAGAGTTCAAGGCCAGCCAGAACTACATAGTAGGTCCTGTCCCAAACAAACAAGCACTTCCCCCAAAACAAACAAAGAAACAAACAAGAAAGAAAGAAAGAAAGAAAGAAAGAAAGAAAGAAAGAAAGAAAGAAAGAAAGGAAGGAAGGAAGGAAGGAAGAAGGAAGGAAGGAAAAGCTCTGAGGCAAGACTGATGCTGTTGTGTGTTTGAACCGAGGCCAGGTCAATGTGCTGGGAACACTGTGACAGAGAGAGAGAGAGAGAGAGAGAGAGAGAGAGAGAGAGAGAGAGAGAGAGAGAGAGAGAGAGGCAGAGAAGAGAGAATAAGAATCAGACTGGGAAGGAAAGAGGGTTGGAATTCTGGAGGGTCCTCGGGCTGTGTGAGCAGTCTGGAGTTAAGTGAATAGACAGTCAGTGAATAATGTCAGAGTTTGATAGCGTATACTTTGTTGCATTTTCCATTGCTACAGTTTTGCAGTGCATAATGCACTAACACACACTAACCCGCAGTGTCTCCAGCACTCTGAATTTGTTTGGCATATTCTGATTTTTGATTGAGTAAGCTTCCATCTCAGAAAGAACAAGAGCTTAATACACTTGCTAGCATTGCACTTTCAAGGTGGGTGTTTCCTCACACTGCCTCCAGGTTTCTGCTGCTCTCTGAACACTTGGTAATAACTGTTAATGAAAGACTTAGTCCTGAAAGCAGATCAGATGACTCTGGGAATGTGAATTTTCAGCTCATGTCATTGCAGTGTCTAAGAGGCTGTCCCACACCAGGTGAATTTGTGGAGAAGTGCTTAATGACCATACTTGCATAAAGGGACTGAGGTAGAAGATCTGATTGATAGACACAGTGTCTAAATACATTGAAGTAACACTGAGCCACAAACGAAAGTTTGCTAATGAAACAAATGTAGGTTGAATACATATTTTATTAAAGTCTGTTTTACATTACGTATTATAGATGTAAGAGATTTTATAAAGTAAGAAAACATTTTTGTTGCATAGTTTTTTGATGCACATTTTTGTTGCATCCATCATACATGGATGACTGATTTTTCTTTTGACCTTTGGGTTGTCTTCGATTCCAGTTCTGATAGTACAGAACTTGCGACACATTGCCTTCTGTGTCTACCATTAATATGCTCATGGGTGTCCGCTTGTAGATCTTGCTCTGACCTTTGGAGCTGCACTTCCCAGGACAGCTGTTGCCTTAGTCACCTGGGAAGCTCCTCTTGCTGCCTTTACAAGTGCCTGGCAGTATGGCACTTTGATTTCCATGTAGTTCCTGTGTAAGAATTGTTTTGCCAGAATAAAGGTTGCTTTTGCTATCCAGATGTTCAGTAAATGCAGCTTTAAGATGAAGTATTTAGTGCTACATTAGTACCCTTGGATAGCATTTGTAACTCAAAGTTCATACTATTGGAAATCTGATTCGTTAGGAAGGGTACTTATGTGCAGTGCATTTAGGAGAGCCTGAACCCCAGGCCTGCTCCTGTCTGAGCAGGTCTGCACTTTAGGCTTTTTCTCCATAAAGAGTGGTGAGATAGTGTAGAACTGCTAGCCTTCACCTTCCTTCCACTTTGAGACTGTCATATTTCTTTCTTTTTTAATTTAGAGAAAAAAAGCACAACAGAAAAAAGGGTAGAGATAATAATGTCAAAAAAGTAAGGAATAGTAAAAAAAAGTTATCATAGTATCTTAGAAGTAGTTGCTCAAGTCACAAAATCAAAGTGTAAAAAGTGGACAATGACAGTACAAACCACTTTATTTGATGAACTAACAAAAATTTAGTAGTATGGTTATCTATGTTGCACACTTAAACATACATACAGTTGTATCCTTTAGAGCACTTTCCTTTTCATTATCACAACATGTATTATACATTTTGGATCATATTACGCTTTATTATTTTTTATACTAGAGAGACAGTACGGTATTTGCAAATGTGAGTCTGATTTATTTCACTTACGAGGATCGTGTCCAGTTGCCTCCATTTGCCTATAAAAGCCTTAAGATGTTCCGTTTATACTTGAAATATATTAAAGAGGGCGTTTACCCATCGCTGATGTTACTGTCTAGCACTCTAACCTCTACTTTTCAGCCCTGGGTGGGTGGTGCCACTAGCTTTAGCTGAGGGTTTACCTCAAAAGCGCCCGGTGTGGTAAGGAGCTGCCCTTCACACAGGAGCTCATTGACTGAATCTTTCTAACAGCTACAAGGCAGGAACTGGAGACAGGTAACTCAGCCCAGACATTGACCTGAGTCCCAGTGTGTGTGTGTGTGTGTGTGTGTGTGTGTGTGTGTGTGTGTGTGTGTGTGTAGGTGTGCGTGCGCGCGTGCTGGGGTGTTGTGGAAGAGCCTTCACTTCTAACATGCATCCGTTTATGCTTGAATTCTCCCACGGACACCCCCGGAATGCTTCAGTGAAGGCTACAAGGAACAGAGGAGACTCAGCAAACAGGTTTCCTCTCGGGAACCCCCAGACTGGCGCCCAAGGGAGCAGCCCGAGGTGGAGCTTCTGGGTGCCAGCAAGGTCTCTGCCCCCCGCAGGGCTGCTCGGCCGCGGTGGGCCCCGCCGGGAGAGTCCACTAGGGCGCGGGCAGGGTGTTCCCGCGGCGGGCCGGCGCCGAGGAGGCCGCACACCCCCCCCCGCCCCCCGTCAGGTGCGCGCGTCCGATTGGAGCAGAGCGGCGGCCGGCGGGACGGCGGGCTCGGCCGCGGGCAGGGCGCGGGACGGCGGGCGCAGACGCGGGCGCGGATGTCGGGGTCCCCGGAGCCAGGTAGGCGCGGGCCGCGGACCTGTGGCGGGAGGTGGGGTCGGGGTGCGGGGACCCCGCGGAGCGGGACGCGTCCTTCCAGGCTGCGGGGCTACGGCTCTGCCTGGCGGGTCAGCGGTGGGACTGCGCGCGACGTGGAAACGGGGGACGCGTAACTGTGGTGGGCAGGTGGGGATCAGCTCAGGAGTCTCGAGCGCGTTCCCCCTCGGGGAATTTCAGGGAGTCTGGAATTATCCGGGAGTGGGAGAACGATATGTGCATTCTTAAGAAGCTCCTACATTTTAAATATCTTGAACTGTCTTGAAGCTATTGTTGAGGGTTTTTTCCTTGTACAGGGCAAGCTCAGGGCTGCTTTACCCCTGAACCACAGTCTCCCTGAACCACTCGGAGGCGAGATCCCTCTAAACTGCCCAGAGTGGTCTTGATTTCGCTGACCCTCTACCTCTGCCTCCCAGATAGATCCCGTAGCTGGGATTACAGACCTCCGCCAACGCCAGGTGAAACTTTGGTTTTAAACCGAAAACTTTTCACATTTAATGAGATGCACAACTTTTTAAAAATGTATGCAGTGTTTTTATAAGTAGGTAGCACAGTCTTTCAGAAATCAATAATTAAAAATGCATATTGAGAGTATCATAAAGCTAAAAAAATACGTAAAGCAATACAGCATTATTTCAAAAATTCTTATTACTTTTACCGATGTGCTTTTTCCTTCCTTTTGTGTGTCATTCATCAAAAGATTTAGATCAAATAAAAACAGGTGTGAAAGAAAAGCAAAACAGATCTCTTAGCCAAGACACAAATGAACACTATTGATTTCTTTTTTGGATAATTTCCTAGGCTGGCACATTGTTAAATCTATGTTGTTCAAGAAAAATGCAGGCCTTAGAGACGTTCCAAATGCACTCTGAGCTGTGTTATAATAAAATAAATATATGTGACTAGACGTAATATCTTGACTCTGCTATTAACTTACAGCAACTTTGCACTTTGGGGGTTAGGTGATTGCAAAGACTTCTGTATGTATCTATCTCGGTATCATTCAAGATAACTTTTAAAAGAAGTAACCAAAAAATATACTCTGAAAGTCCGACTTACTGTTCTTATTTCCATGATAGATGAAAATAAGTTACTTCTTATTAACACCTTGTATAATACATTCTTTGCATAACATCACCATCATAAATCAGTCGTATTATTGGTTCGATAAAATGGCACCGCATCATGAACTGTTTCTGCTCTTTGCCCAAATCCCCCTTCATCTAGAGCTGGGTGAAAGCTCTTTGCCCAGTGCTCTTAGCCCCTACATTATCCTGAGAGCTCAAACTGCTTGTGCAGACACAGGCTTACGCTACACTGAGAGACAAAGGTAAATTATGTGATGACCCTGAGTTTTGTTGCTGTCAAATATAGAGAATATGCGACGGTCAAGATGCACAATATTTAATAGTAATTATGGTTTATGTTCAACATATATTTATTAAAGTGAATTGCATTCATTGTCAGACATTGATAATATGAGATGCTGTACATTAGGAATACATGTATTTTCATAGTAATCAGAATAGCTGTTAGAAATAATGTGGGAAGGAAGAAACTTATGAAGGCAAAGTATGTCAGCTGTCTTTCTGCTTGGAGGGGTCCATGCCCAAGACTGAAGTATGCTACACCCATTCAGGCAGAGTTAGCCGTGGCTAAAGTCTTTGTTCCTCTCCCTGTGGTGAATGGGAATAATTGTAGCATTTCTTGCATGCACACTATACATCAGGAATTCCATTACATCCTTTAAATGGAATAATCACATCTAACCATGAGTTAGATAGCATCAGCCTGATAATGCAGTTGAGGGAACTGAGCATCTACAAAGAAAATTCTTTTGCCTTATATTGGGTGTGCAGTCTTCCACTGTTCAGAAATTCAAAGGCTGTGAACACAGCATGAGCTTCCACAGCACTGGGAAAAGTTGTAAAGCCAAAATGAGCAATGTTATCTTTGAGGAAATAGCCCTACACAAGCTAAAAAAGTCACATTTGTATTTTCCCAATTGAGTTTAGTTGCCTGTACCTTCTTGGAAACTATTAAGTGGGAAGCATCTCTGTCTCTATCTCTCTTTTCTTGTTCAGTACTGGGGGTGGAATCCAGGGTCTTTACCCTGATCTTCATGCCCAGCTCTTTTGATTTTTTATGTGGAGCCAGGATCTTCCTAAAGCACTAAATTGCCCAAGCTGGGCTTAAATTTGTGGTCATCCTGCCTCAGCTTCTGGAGGGCTGGGATTACAAGCATGCACTACTATGCCTGGCTGAGGAGTATCTTAACTGGTGAATTTGTTCATTAATCGTTTGATTTAGTGCCCTCCAATCACATACCACCACATGCCCTTTTTCTATTGATGCCCCTTTTCAATGAAAATTGCAGGATTGCACCAATTAGAATCCCAAATTCTCGAAAACAGTGACTGTACTGTGTATTTCTCTTGTATGTATATGCCTTAACGAAGTTGTTTATCTGTTGAATTAATGGCCTTGTCCATCTGTTTGCCTGTGGCAGCTCATTATTTTATATAAGGAGTATGAATCTGCCCTGTGGAAACACTGTGAAATCAGTTTTACTTCATGCAGTGGGCAGCTGGACAGTTTGCGGATACCATGAAGTGTGTTTAGTGCCTTACTGATTGTATTCTTTGATTATAAGGTGTAGGGTGTTGTTATGGGGAGATTGGGGTGAATATTTCTCTCCCTGATTTGGGGGTTCACACAGGTAAGTTTTGTTTCCCTCTCGCTCTTTTTCTCTTCTGGTTTAACTTGGAAATAACCTTTTTTTTCCTGTTGTAAAGACAGTGCAAAGTCATACAGGAAATTCAGACAGTATAGAGGTGAAAAAATCCCAGAACCTCCCTGTTCAGCTGTTTTGGGGGCCATTCAGCCAGAGTCTTTCTTCCCTTAACTCCTGTTGAATCAAGCTGGGAGATGAATTATTTATTGACACCATTTACTATTTAGTCTTAGTATTCTGTCACTTCCAAGCCATCGAGACTATTATTTTATATACATAAATAGACTTGTTGAGAAACGCAGGTGCACCTGATACTGATACCCTAGGTAGACTCTGTGGAGGATGAAGTAGTACAGACAGCTGCCACATCCCGTGCTTGCTCCTTGTCCTTTGCAGACCCGGCCTAGGAGCCCAGGAAGCATCTTTGACAGATGAAGGGCCCCCATCAGGCCACACAGGAAGCCACAGCACCCCAACTCTGTGGCCCTGGTGGGAAAGTGGCAGAGGAGAAGGTGGAGTGGGGTCACACAGGCGGCGAGAGTACAAAGGCCATGTTTTCTGATTGTGCTGTGACACACTATCCACTTTGAACCCACCGGCTGGCCCTCCCCCAGCTGCTAGGCAGGTGGTCAGGGCCTTTTCTGGTGCAGTCAGGCAGAAGTCTGCCTGCACCCCAGACTGAGGGCGGGGAGCGGGTAGGGCATTCTCCGTCTCTTATTCAGGTCTGAAAGCCTAGAGGGGACCCGCTTTCCAATAAAGGGGAGATACTGCTGTCAGAGGAACTGTCTGTCGGTGAGTTTTGCAATAATGGTCACAAAGTTACTCGGTGTAAAGGAAGTCTGGGAATCTCTTTGAGAGAGATACTGGCAACTCTTTCCATATGCATGACTGTGTAATTATATGAAAATACATGTCATAAAGATTATGTTCATTATTTTAATTTTATAAGTTTATTTGTTATTGAAAACTCCTTGTGCCCCCAGGCACATTTCTTGGCTTATGCTATATATATGCGCGTAGAGATCTTTCCTGCTCTACTTTATTAGAGGCTTAGCGTGGCTTTAATCCAACCATCTGTTCACATCTTGGCATGTCAGCATATCTGAGGTGCTGGTAGAGGCTAAATAAATTTCCCACATTTTAGAGGTTGGGGAAGTAGCTACCTTTATGAATAGATTTCAAATGATTTTCAGCAAGACAATGGCACAGTCCCCGAGTAAAAATGCATTTCATTCTCTGAAGCACAAGGTCCCCTGTCTGTCCTTAGTTTTGCTGAAAGGCAATTAGCATTTCAACTAGCCAATTTGGTTACATGCAACCAAGTACTTGGGTTTATAATTTGCTGCTCTCTGTCTGAGGCTGTTGAGTGCTAGTCCTTATATAATCCTCTCCAAGTCGCCTTCTCTCCTGCATAGTTATTGTTCCTGGTCTTAAACAACTAATCAACAGAGAATTTTCCTTGCCTTCCATTGTACGTTCCATAGGGGAGGGAAAATAAAATGCCAAGCTAATAAGAGGATGACTGTAATTATAAACAGTCACTTTTGAAATGTAGTACAGGGTGAAAGATCTGAAACAGCTTCAAACACCCCAAAAAGGCATTGTGTGGCACTGTTAATAGTTCATTTCTTCATGCAATAGGCACAGTACAATGGGACTCAAAATTAACAAGAAAGAAGCAACTCCTAATTATTTATATTGCCTTATGTCTCTTTATGCAAGAAAGAATTCTGTAGAGGAATATAAGTTACAGAAAAAGATTTTTCTGAACAGGTGCTCTGAGACCTACTATGGAAATAATTCAAGGTTTTACATTTGTGTGCTTGTTGAAAATAAGATTTTGTCAGTTTTGGTCATGAATTTTGGTAATTAGGTGTACATTCTCATATGCTACTGCAGGAACCACTGAATATTATAATAATTCTTTTGTTAGGATAATTGGAATGATATTAGTCTTTAATCCATGTCATGGGGCAGTGATCCGTTTAGCTCATCTTGTAAGGCAACACTGTTTTTGCACAGTTGCACTTATGTAATTATTTGGAAATAAAACTACATTTCCTACTCATCATATAATGTTTTAACTGAAGGAAAGCATAATAGAAGTGTTTTAGATGTAGTCGTTGGGGTGCCCAGTTACAAATTTGGAAACACGTATGAAAGACTGGCATTGTGTTGTACATCTCAGCCTGTGCATATACAGAGGAAGCTGTATCTGCAGCTGGAGTTA